GATTGAGATATTAGTTTTGGTATTTGTTAGGTATAGTTTTTTCTTGAGATGGATTTTGTGTTTGATAAATTGGTTTTGCTATTGGATTGCTAATATTAATATTTGTGAAAAAATCATAGTTATGATTAGCAAAGTTATTGCCATTTGCGTGTTTTTGTTTTTTGTTACATTAATTATATCGTTACTTTGAGGAAGGAGATATTATCCAGTTCATTGCTGCGTATACATTAGTAGTGTACGTCAACTTGAAGTCGCGAAGTCATTTTGATTGAAACGTCATCCAATTTTTTTGATCTTCGTAAATTACGAGTAATTATCCATGACTTGTATAACAGAAAAATTAGACTATCAAGCAAAAATATTTTCTCTTATACAGGTTTTTGGAGATTTAACCCTACTAGAACTTTGTAGAGGCTTCTTGAGATATATATTTCTCATGAATTAAGAAGTTAGTTTCAGCGTAATTCTTGATTAATGGAAAAAAGCCAGATTGACGGATTTTTGAGGTATGATTTTGGTTGAGAATTTTGGAGAAAAAATTGCACCATATTAATTTTGATGAAATTCTAAGTTCTCTTCATTTTTTGTCTAATTTTAACCCAAATGAGAAAAACGCGTTTGAAAATTCAAATTTTGTTCCATTTTGTCCGGATCATTTAAATCAGCACTGTATCATTAAGAGTAATGGACATAATTGATTTTATAAAAAGTCCTGAAATGTTGATGCTCTTAGGTATCTATGCACTTTTTGAGTTCAATTGAAATGCGCCTCTTGAAAGTGACAAAAATAGATTTCTTTAAATACGAAGTTCGTGAACGATTTCTAATTTCGAAAATGGAATTTTTTTTGAGATTTCCAGCAGAATAAAACTTCTTCCTGTTGATCCAGTTTTCTCAAGTCTGGTTATTGTTATCAAAAAAGCGCCAATCACTTATCGTTCTAGAAATTCAAAAAGCCTAAAGGTTATCTAATTTTTTTCTTTGAAAGTCGCAAAATGAGATTTTTTCAACAATGTCAGTGTTTTTTAATGTTTACTTGCGTTCATTACTCTTTTCCCATCTTCGATTGGCTATGTTTTCTTTGACACTCGGAAGTGATAGTTTTTTTAAGAAAAAGGAGTCGGTTATTTTTTTGATCTGGTTGAGTTCATTGACACTTTTCCAACTGTCTGTCAGTTATGCTTGCGTCTTATTCTTTCCTAACACCAAGTAAATAGGTTGTCACATTGTCCGGTTGTTATGGACATTATCATGCTGACTTATTAAATACTGACGAACAAATTTGGTGTTCATTTTAAACCTAAAACCCCCTATCACACCATAAAATTGATATTCGTGCGAGGTCATGGGGGCGGGGGGGGGGGGGGGGGGTGTAAATGAGCCCTATATTTTGATGCTGATTTTTTTTTCAAAACATTTCGTTGAAAAAATGGATAATTTTTGGTGCGGTCTGTCGGAGTTTTTCGTTTATCAATAAAAAAATATTGATTGAGATATTAGTTTTGGTATTTGTTAGGTATAGTTTTTTCTTGAGATGGATTTTGTGTTTGATAAATTGGTTTTGCTATTGGATTGCTAATATTAATATTTGTGAAAAAATCATAGTTATGATTAGCAAAGTTATTGCCATTTGCGTGTTTTTGTTTTTTGTTACATTAATTATATCGTTACTTTGAGGAAGGAGATATTATCCAGTTCATTGCTGCGTATACATTAGTAGTGTACGTCAACTTGAAGTCGCGAAGTCATTTTGATTGAAACGTCATCCAATTTTTTTGATCTTCGTAAATTACGAGTAATTATCCATGACTTGTATAACAGAAAAATTAGACTATCAAGCAAAAATATTTTCTCTTATACAGGTTTTTGGAGATTTAACCCTACTAGAACTTTGTAGAGGCTTCTTGAGATATATATTTCTCATGAATTAAGAAGTTAGTTTCAGCGTAATTCTTGATTAATGGAAAAAAGCCAGATTGACGGATTTTTGAGGTATGATTTTGGTTGAGAATTTTGGAGAAAAAATTGCACCATATTAATTTTGATGAAATTCTAAGTTCTCTTCATTTTTTGTCTAATTTTAACCCAAATGAGAACAACGCGTTTGAAAATTCAAATTTTGTTCCATTTTGTCCGGATCATTTAAATCAGCACTGTATCATTAAGAGTAATGGACATAATTGATTTTATAAAAAGTCCTGAAATGTTGATGCTCTTAGGTATCTATGCACTTTTTGAGTTCAATTGAAATGCGCCTCTTGAAAGTGACAAAAATAGATTTCTTTAAATACGAAGTTCGTGAACGATTTCTAATTTCGAAAATGGAATTTTTTTTGAGATTTCCAGCAGAATAAAACTTCTTCCTGTTGATCCAGTTTTCTCAAGTCTGGTTATTGTTATCAAAAAAGCGCCAATCACTTATCGTTTCAGAAATTCAAAAAGCCTAAAGGGCATCTAATTTTTTTCTTTGAAAGTCGCAAAATGAGATTTTTTCAACAATGTCAGTGTTTTTTAATGTTTACTTGCGTTCATTACTCTTTTCCCATCTTCGATTGGCTATGTTTTCTTTGACACTCGGAAGTGATAGTTTTTTTAAGAAAAAGGAGTCGGTTATTTTTTTGATCTGATTGAGTTCATTGACACTTTTCCAACTGTCTGTCAGTTATGCTTGCGTCTTATTCTTTCCGAACACCAAGTAAAGTGGTTGTCACATTGTCCGGTTGTTATGGACATTATCATGCTGACTTATTAAACACTGACGAACAAATTTGGTGTTCATTTTAAACCTAAAACCCCCTATCACACCATAAAATTGATATTCGTGCGAGGTCATGGGGGCGGGGGGGGGGGGTGTAAATGAGCCCTATATTTTGATGCTGATTTTTTTTTCAAAACATTTCGTTGAAAAAATGGATAATTTTTGGTGCGGTCTGTCGGAGTTTTTCGTTTATCAATAAAAAATATTGATTGAGATATTAGTTTTGGTATTTGTTAGGTATAGTTTTTTCTTGAGATGGATTTTGTGTTTGATAAATTGGTTTTGCTATTGGATTGCTAATATTAATATTTGTGAAAAAATCATAGTTATGATTAGCAAAGTTATTGCCATTTGCGTGTTTTTGTTTTTTGTTACATTAATTATATCGTTACTTTGAGGAAGGAGATATTATCCAGTTCATTGCTGCGTATACATTAGTAGTGTACGTCAACTTGAAGTCGCGAAGTCATTTTGATTGAAACGTCATCCAATTTTTTTGATCTTCGTAAATTACGAGTAATTATCCATGACTTGTATAACAGAAAAATTAGAACTCGTGTTCTTTATTTTTCAGATTATTCTAATCAAATTTTAAGCGCAAATGGCTGTTGTGACGACAAATTCGAGTTCTTGTTTCAAAACTGGATCGTAATTTTCATAATTTCAAGCGGGAATCAAAAAATCAGCCATTGATCCAATCTTCTCATTTTGAGTTAGTTTTATTTTAAAAAAATGTCTTTTAAGATTCCTGTAACTCAAATAATTTTAAGTTGATATACAGTGCTGATTTAATTTATCGGGATAAAACGAACAAAACACGTTTTTCAAACACGTTTTTCTCAATTAGGGTTAGGATTAGACAAAAAGTGAAGAGAACAAAATCTGCTTAGAATTTCATCAGATTTAATATGATACAACTTTTTCTCCCAAATTGTCAACCAAAATTTTACTCCAAAAATGCGTCAATCTGGCTTTTTTCAATTAATCAAGAATCACGCTGAAACTACCTTGATAATTGATGAGAAATATATATCTCAAGAACAAAATTCTACAAGAGTTGAATATCCAAAAATTTGAGTTAATTGTTTAAAGTTTGTTTTTAAGCAAAAATTTTGGGTTTTAGATAGTAGAAATTACGTTTCTTGACTATCAAGCAAAAATATTTTCTCTTATACAGGTTTTTGGAGATGTAACCCTTCTAGAATTTTGTAGAGGCTTCTTGAGATATATATTTCTCATGAATTAACAAGGTAGTTTCAGCGTAATTCTTGTTTAATTGAAAGAAGCCAGATTGACGGATTTTTGAGGTATAATTTTGGTTGACAATTTTGGGGAAAAAATTTGAGAAAAACGCGTTTGAAAATTCAAGTTTTGTTCCATTTTGTCCGTATCATTTTAATCAGCACTGTATCATTAAGATTAATGGACATATTTGATTTTATAAAAAGTCCTAAAATATTGATGCTCTTAGGTATCTATGCACTTTTTGAGTTCAATTGAAATGCGCCTCTTGAAAGTGACAAAAATAGATTTCTTTAAATACGAAGTTCGTGAACGATTTCTAATTTCGGAAATGGATTTTTTTTTTGAGATTTCCAGCGGAATAAAACTTCTTCCTGTTGATCCAGTTTTCTCAAATCTGGTTAATGTTATCAAAAAAGCGCCAATCACTAATCGTTCTAGAAATTCAAAAAGCTTAAAGGGCATCTATTTTTTTTCTTTGAAAGTCGCAAAATGAGATTTTTTCAACAATGTCAGTGTTTTTTTAATGTTTACTTGCGTTCATTACTCTTTTCCCATCTTCGATTGGCTATGTTTTCTTTGACACTCGGAAGTGATAGTTTTTTAAGAAAAAGGAATCGGTTATTTTTTTGATCTGATTGAGTTCATTGACACTTTTCCAACTTTCTGTCAGTTATGCTTGCGTCTTATTCTTTCCTAACACCAAGTAAAGTGGTTGTCACATTGTCCGGTTGTTATGGACATTATCATGCTGACTTATTAAACAATGACGAACAAATTTGGTGTTCATTTTTAACCTAAAACCCCCTATCACACCATAAAATTGATATTTGTGCGAGGTCATGGGGGGGGGGGTGTGCTCAATGAGCCCTATGTTTTGATGCTGATTTTTTTTTCAAAACAAATTTTGTTATTTTCTGCAATTTTTTTGCGCCTTTTTAGAGCTAATTTTTGCTGTTTCGCCGTCGAATCTAACGAGAAATTTGTGTTTGTGTTCTAGTCAGCTGGCGCTGAATGAGTTCGTGACGAATGCGAATGTGGGTCACCAGGTGTACGATCTGATTGGGGTTGTGAACCACTACGGGGGACTGGGAGGGGGGCACTACACGGCCTACTGTAAACACGAGCCCACAGAAAACTGGTACGACTATGATGACTCAAGGGTGTCTCCACTGCACGGAGGAGAGGAGGCTGTGAAGGTGAGGAGGCTGTGAAGGTCTTGCTGAATTACATAAGGGTAAAATATAATATACACGGCTCAAAAATGGGGCAAAAAATACTATTTTGAAAGAATGAAACTGAAGGCGAGCTGTAGGAAAGCTGTAGAAGAAATAACAGTTCGGCTTCGTGCTCAGATTGTGTGATTGATCCCCTGCCATGGTATTGATAGTATGTGAGGATGAGCTCATTAACCTCTAGCTGCATATCTACCACAGCCTGACCGAATGCGGTTGCAATAGTGGTAACACACGGGAAGTTCTAGACACAAAAAACGACCTTGAGTCGCAAAAAAGAGCCTTGCTCAACAAAATAACTATCTGAAGTGTGGGGAATTAAGAGAAACGAATTCTGCTCAGACAAGATGGATAGCCTTTCTTAGATCCTCTGCGATTCGCAGAAGCCACAATTAATATTAATCAAATCTTTTAAATACTGAAAAATAACACTTCTTTTAGCAGGGCTGAAAGAAGAAACCCCAAGGAACTGCATGGTTGTTAGCTGATAAAACCCAAAATTTCCCTTCATCATATGAGGTGTGCTAAAACTACGACTTTTGAAATATTTTGTTTTAGACAAGTGCCGCATACGTGCTGTTCTACAGACGTCGCGAGAGAACCGAGATAGACATCATCCCGCCTTCGATCAAAACCCAGCCGAACCCAGACGCGGTAGAGAGTAGCGTAGATGACGAAATGGACACAGTCTAGTCATATCTAGTTCCCAGTCACACCCCCACTCGTCCCCTTTCTTGCCTTGTCCTTTTTATTAGAAGCAGTCAGCACAGAAAAAACAGCTTCTTAATGAATTTAAACTAAATGATATAAAGGAAGTAAAAAGAGCAACAGCAGCAGCTAAAACAATCAGATGAAGAACTTTAAGAAACACCGAAACATATATAATTGTTGAGCTGTTTGTTGAACAATAACTGAGACGTCCAGCCTGTTTTGATCCGATTATAATTATATTTTCTTACATTTCTGTATTTTGATCTCACTTACATATACATTGCTTTCGTGTCTGCCTAGCAGACTTAAAATTTCCCCTCGTAGGTTTACATAAATGCGTACACATGATCTGAGTAGAATAAAGGTGCTTTCATTTGTAAATTTTATCCGACATCTGTACTCAGGTGTCGTTGTTAATCGATCTGCGTTACTATCTTCATGAAATTTTGATCAAGCCTTCTGATCATAAATTATAAAATGTAGTAGATTGTGATCTTGGATCAAAATTTTTGAAAAGGAAAAGCAAGCCCAGAGTCGCTGCAAGTTGTAAGCCGTGGTTTGATGATATAAATTGGATGATTGAATGTCGTTGGTCGGTGAATAATTGAAAGATGTTGAAATCATACAGTTTTGCTATTCTGAAATGAGGAAGATAATGATCTTATTATTATTATTTAACGAACTCATCGTGTCATCTAATGAATGACAGAATTTTTTTCTAACTTGAGTATTAGCTACTACAAATGAAGACAAGTAGCTAATGTAGCTTCTGTGCAAGTCTCTTAGCTCGCTCCTACTACAGGCGTCAATGCAAAAACAAATAATCATTTTTTTTTTCAATTTTTGGCTCTTCTACCGCAGCGTGGGGAAAACAGAAAGAGTCAATTTTTTTTTCTACGCAACAAGCATAGTGTTATACGGTTAGTTTCAACCTAACTTGCATGAAATGATGCTCAGCAAAGGCACCATAAATCAATTTGAGTTCTGGTAATTGCTTATGTTTTTTTTCCACGTGTTATATTCTATATTGGTGGCTAGCGTTTGTAAGATATCAAAAGCTCATAGTCTATTGGTAAAGACAGAGTCCAAATCTGTTTAAGTGAAGACTCTTATATAGGCCGTGATGATGAAGAGTAATGAACGTAGTTATGGAACCAGATATTACTAAACTAGTATTTATCATTGGTTATTATTATGATATTTTATCTCTATAAAATATTAAATACTAACCAATCATTCTCCATCAAACTAACAACCCACTTATTTGTAAGTGTTGAAACTACTTGTAGTTTCATCACCAGAACAATTTGAATGAAACTTAGAATACAGTTGTTCTCATTCTGGAACTAACTCGCGCAAACCGGTGTACACTAGATCTATTGAAACTAGGAGATATAAGAGTAAGATTAAGATTGCTATTAGACTGAGAAGTTGCACGAATCTATCCGACCGAAAATAAGATAGCGTGACGAGCAGACAGTGTACCTTATCTGAAATTACTCTATGAGTATAGTACATAATACAAAACTCATCTGGTGCGACCAAAAGTCTCGAACAGACCTTAACTAATAACCTAGACTTAGACAAAAATTAGATTAGAATTAGACAAATACAACATTTTAAAAATGTTATATGATAAAAATTTAATAGATATGTCTCTACGACTCAATAGATCAGATCCAATATTCCGAACAATACGAGAACTACCCAGTAATGGAAGAATACTTCGAACCAGAGACGACATACGACAAGGAAGAAATCTACCAATCGATTTCATGATAGTACGACAAAAACGAGATCAAACTTTGTTTTTAGGATACTACCAGCAGTAAATTTAAACTTTCATTTACTGACATAATACTTTGAAGAATTTTTTTCAATACCCTTCATGGCGCTAAAACTAGTAATTGTACAATAACGACTGATAAAAACAACACTTGTCGTTTTCCTTAAATCAGCTGTCAACTAATAACATCTTGAAAATAAAATACAAAAATTAGTTAGTATAAATCAAACATCGTTAGTATATATATTTCATCCCAGCTTCATCACCTTAAAAATAACAGCAAATCTTAAAAACTAACAATCATCAAAACTAAAACTTAACCCTAACCTTTTATCAATAAACTATCAAGGCTTATCCTTGTTTTCACTTAAGTAATTTCATTCTAAATAACAGATCATCAAGGCTTCCCTCGGATCTTTAAATTAAAATAATTTATATCTAAATTTTTTACCATCAAGATCTACCCTTGGATCAAATAGAACAATTTTTTGTGTCCCTCCCAATTACATTAGTGTCTAACGTTCTCAAACGTCGATTCATACCCAACCCTTATCAAAAACCCAGAATTAACAGAAATTTTTCAAAAAACTAACCATATTAATTAAGATAAACAGTGAAGAACTTCGGTTACTCATCCTTCACTTGATCTTCTTCCTCTTAGATGACCCAGACTAAAACACTTAAACTTAGTAAGTCATAAAATAGTATCGAACGAACTACTTGCGTTCTAATTATACCTGAACCTTGTGGATTGATTTACTATTCTCCAACCCTTGATCACAAATCACAACCCCTAAGTAAGATTAGGTAGGTCTATCTTAGCTTAGAATTAGTCACGAGAAAGTAAAAATCATTCTCAGGAATCGATATACGCTTTTCTCTCCAACCCAACAATACGACCCAAGTTAAGCTAACCACAAAAAATTGTAAGAACTAACAGGTTAAGACATAAGAATCACTAATCCAGATTTTGCACCCATCATCCTAAACCTTATGTCAAGAGACAATTTAGGAAACAAACGAACAATCGTAATACACAATTGTTTAATTAACGACGACAGATACGACCTCGTTATCACATCACACAGACAATCAGTAGGATACATTAGAACAAAAAGATAAACACTAAGAAAGAAAATAATTAACAAACAAAATCACGTCAGAAACCCCGTCACCAGCATCGATAAAAGGGAAACGAAGAATAAAAATTTGCTACACAAACAAACCAATACAGTAGGTACAATTGGAATCAGCCAATGAGACATTGAAAATTACACGTTAACAGTCATACAACACAAAATTGATTCGAAATGAAGATAACCCAGAAAATTCAGTTCTTCCATTCTAAATATCTCCAGTAACTGAAGCTCGAGGACAGGTACAATTTTGCCAAATTTTAATCGCAACAAAACTTGAAAAAGGAGAAATTCCATGCACAAGAGAATTTCCCGAAGTAAAAATCAAAGACAACTTCTTGACCACTATCTCAAAGGTATATGTAGTCTGACATCACAATATGGAATCTACACAATAGAAATCAAATAGCCAAGAGAATTTCATGACAAATATCTCAATCAAACTGATGACGTAGATATTAAATTTTCAAAAGTTCTTACACAAAACATCAAAAGCATACAACATCAAAACTCACAAAGAGCAAACTCAATATTCACAAATGATGTATTCTCACTTATCTAAAGCTATATATCTATATTAGAACTAAAAGAACCTCAAAGCGATTCACCAACTCAAACATCCCGACATACAATTGTACGACAAGAAATAAACATATTTTCAAAAATTTTAAATGCAATCCGAGAAGATCTAATGAGTAATGAAATAACACATGTAAACACAATTTACAAAAAATCTTAGCATGGATCATAATCGATTATTTTAGTCATAATGATGATCTTATTGCACAAGCAGGAAAAAATTTAAGACCATAAAATACAGACGACGAAATCATATTAGCAGAACAAACAGATTGTTTGTGACCCCTGAATGGTCTCATGAATCATTTATAAATATACCAACAGATATATCAAGTCAAGCAATTAGCACTATCTCTATTGACAAAGATTATGTTAGAGTATACCCACTTACAATTGACGCAACACCTTTAAACCATAATTCATTCTTTCCTGAAAGAACAGGAAATAATAGTTTAAATTCTACATTTATAAATAATGACAACTTAAATGGAACAAGAAATCCTACCCAACAAGATATAAAAACTCCATCACATTTTGTAAGCAAAGAAATTGTTGAAACAATAACAACAACAGAAGCACAACGAAGCATTTCACCTATTCAACCCAATTTTACAACTCCAAAACTAAAAAAACTCAACGCTACAACAAGCAATTATACAATCCACAGTAAAACCCTCTGTTGCAAAAAAATATTCACAAATGGATAACTTAATTTTTCCACCAGTAACGAAACCATCATCTCAACAAAAATCACATAGAAATAATTTCGCAGAACATAATTATAACTATGTAAATAGATCATAAACAACAAAATCTTATGAAATGAATACTCAGAACTACCCATACTCACAAAGTCAAAATATACCACAAATGACTTAAAATTCAGTAAGTTTTTATAATCAATCACGATCTTCACAGGAACAAAGTTAAAATTACCTATTTTCTCAACGAAATTAAAATAATACAAATAGATACCATACCGAAATCAACCTCCTTATTATACAACTAATTATTATCCATCAGATGATGAAGAATACTATAATCAAAATCATCAACGATATTATTCAAGGCAAAGACCTCGTTCTTACAGTATCGACCAACCAGATATTTTCGAACCATACACACGAGATAAACAAACACGACAACCCAGAAATAACCCAAAATCTTGCAACAATAGTTTTCAACAACAAAACGCAGTTAACACACAATCACATTTAATTTTCAATCACAAAATCTAGTGAATACTCAAATTTACCAACCAAGTCAAAGGCAAAAAGAAATTTCACTACCATATTATCTACAACGACATGAACTAACAAAGACTCAACTTACAAATTTTTCTCAAATACCAAATGCCGCAGAATCACTACAATTGACTATGAATCTATACCTTATGGGTGGATCCTCAATATCTTCAACTTAGCCATATGGTATTCACAGGAACAGATCCTGAATACTCCGTAAAAGATATTTAAATTCAGTCACAGCAAATTTGATTTTAAATATAGGACCTGAACCAGTAAACACGCACCTTTATCAAAATTGGATACATAGACGCACAGCTTAAATCCAAACTACACTTGATGGCGCAGCCCAAAAATGGTTTTCAGTTTTACCTATAGAAATAAAATCTGATTGGAAAAGATTCAAACTAAAATTCTCAAAAATGTTTGATTCAGAAAGAAACAAACAACACCAAAGAGTTTTATGCAATGAGATTCGTAGACTACCAAATGAAACAATTAAACAGTTTGCAGTAAGAATAGAAACACTAGTCCGAAAAGCATACTCACTCAATACTCTTGATTACAAAAATACAAAGACGGCAGAAATCTTAATGATGACTCTAACACCTCAATTGCGAAAAATAGCAATAAAAAAGAGCATCACATCCTTCCTCAATCCGATAACCAGATTTAAACTTTAGAAAAGTAGTAGATAAACTAGAACAAGCAGAGATCACTATAAAATTAGAGGAGACATAAAACTTAAAGTTACAATATCTTAACAACATCCAAACCACTACTTCACAAATAAACACTATTAACGACTCTGATACAGAATTATCTGAAAAAAATCACTGAAATCTTAAACATCTACAAGAAAAATCCAAATTCCTAAG